CAGCTCCGCAGCTCCCACCCTCCTGCCCTGCACCTACAGCTACTGCTGGGACCCCCTTGGGGTGCAGGAGTTTGGGGGAAGTTCAGCTCCTCACTGAAGTCAAAAAGCAGGAGGAGATCTCTCTGGCTGCCCAGAGAGGTGGTGGAGTCACCATCCCTGGAGGCGTTCAAAAAACGTGTAGACGTGGCACTTCGGGACATGGTTTAGTAGGCATGGTGGTGTTGGGTTGACGGTTGGACTTGATGATCTTAGAGGTCTTTTCCAACCTTAATGATTCTAGGGTTCTATGAACATTTCCGCTCTGGGCCTCTGGCTGCAGCCCCGGTACGGACCATGCTAAATCAGGGCTGACGGGCTGTTCCGACACAGCAGCTGAAACCTGAGCAAGAGGATGGAGCGGCGCTGGGCAGGACAGGAGAGCTGTCCTTCCCTGACCGCTCCGGATCCTTCCCTTCACGTGCAGAGATGAGGATCGGGATTTTTAAGCGGCGTGAACTGAACAGCCGAGCTGTTCTAATAGCAGGCGTTAGGCTGACCGCTGGTGTTTGATGTTCCCACGGGGAGCTGGAACCCGTGTAGGCTGGACGGGCACAGCACCAGCCTGAGGAACGCTCCTCCGTGTAACGGGCAGGTGTGGCCCCTTGCTTTGCTCTGTACAGAGAATTTCTTCTTGGATTCCAGTGCCAAGAGGAAACTTGGTTTTAGCATCCATGAGCAGTGATGATCCTTTATTTGTGAATTCAGATAAGCTTCAATGTTATAGCTTTCATTTGTTATTGCAGATACTGAAAATATCAGATTGATCCAATGTGTTTACCAAACTTAAACAAAAAAACTGTGGGGAAAAAACCCTAAACTGTAAAAAAGCTTGAAATTGAAAACATAATCTTCTAAAATGGAAAAACGTAGGTGTTTACAGACTTCTCCTTTCCCCTTCTTTCCTGTTAAGTTAGTGCCAAAACACAGGTTGAACAGAAGCAGAAGTAAGACAATTTGTATTAAGCTGCCTTCTATCTTCTAGTGTTTCATGGCCTACAGGCATATCACTGACTGTCTGCGTAACTGGGAACTTCCAGATTAAATGTCTTTACACATTGTTATAACAACTGCAGTTTTTTCTTGCAATACCTGTGATAAAATTTAATTAACACATAAAGAAGAAAACCCTAAAAAAGGAAATGGTCTCTCCAGGCAGCTATTAGATAGCCAAAATTACTGGCATCAACATTTTTGTTTTCATCCCATTTTTTTATCCCTCTTGTCCCATTCAATTTTTATATAGCCTGATACTAAACTGGTGAAGTCAGTCTTTCCAGAAAGCTTGGTGAGTACATGGGGGATACACATCACTCCCTGATTATAGCTCAATAATTCTGGAAATCATCAACCAGGGCTGAGGTCTTCCAAGATATCCAGAAAAGGCAGCTATCAAATTGCCCTGTTTCAGCGAGACTTGCAGCATTTTCAACAACTCCTGACCACTCCAGTTGTTCAGTCCCGTTTGCGTACCTGACTTCATCAAACGCGCCCGGGTGCTGCTACAGCAGGTGACTGGTGCAGGCGTACTCTAACTGGGAACAAATATGCTGTTTGGGTTTGGTTTGCTATCACACCTCTGAGGGTAAACAAATCCAGATGACTAGCAGGATACGCAAACTCATATCAAGGTTAAATGGGAGTTGTTTTTTATGAAGAATTCCTTTATCTTTACTAGTGTTTTCCTGATAGAAGGAATGGCATTTTCACTATATGAAAGGAAAAAATATGTTAAAAAGGGTAACTTGGCAACTGTCGTATAGAAAAGCTGCAGATTTTACAGCCGGGAGATATATAATTACATAATGGCCATTTTCCCCTCGAGAAATAACTCTGGTCTTAATGGTAAAGATGCGCTCTCGAGTGAGCTTTCCCCTTCGCGCAGCCCGAGCTGTGCTGAGGGCCGTGGGGCTGCCGGGTGGTTTGGCTGGCAGGGGGACAGCGGTGCCTTTGCGTCCCAGCGGCACTTCCACGTTGGCTGCTCGTGCGCCTGGTGCCAGGGAGGAGCCGGGGTTTATCACGCCGGGCCGGTGTCGCTCCGCAGTGCTCTCCCACCCGCCCCAGCGCGCACAGCAAAGCACGGCCGCACGCTCCCTCCTGCCGAGACGCAGAGGTGTGCGGCGTCAGCGAAGCTGAGCTGGGCGTCGTTGTAGCAGCATGCTGTCATCAGCGACGCCTCTGGCTTCAGACACGTATGCCGTCGGCAGCCTGGGCACACCCGTAGGGTTGTCACCTCATCCGTGTAAACACAAGAGTTTAACGTGAGTTGAGTCATACTTCCTTGGATTAATTGATCCTTTGCAAGTTTATACCCACCAACGCGGCATTCGGATCAGACCTGCCCCGGACCGTTTGCGTGACCCTCTGTAGCAGATCCCGACTTGTTCCCGCGTCGCGGTACGCGTGGGAATACCGGGAACGCACAGAGCACGGCACGGGCGGGCAGGCGCGTTGGTGCGCGGCGCTTGGCAGGAACCGTGCGGCAGCACTGCGTGGAACCGTCCTCAGAGCGTGGTCTCGTGCTCACACGTGTCGCGGTCTGTACTCCGGACCTCTCCTCCTGTCGGCTGTGGCCAAGCACAGCGCTTGGTTGATGCTTCACGTTGTGAATGCTACAGGCGGACTGGTTCTTCAGAGTTTGGGTCTCTTGGTGTTTCTGTAGTTCCTGGAAATTGTGGTCAACTCATTGTAAAGCTTTTTACTGTTTGGAAGCTTTTATTTTTGCCTCGTTCAAGTGTAAAAGAGAACAGAATGAGGCTTGCAAAGGGACAAGCTAATTACCCAGAGGGTGAACACTTGAGTCATTTTTCATTGAAATACAATTTTTTAAATTTGTATTTCTTTGCTATATATGGGCCTGATTCTTAATTAAACCAGAAAATAGATTGCCTAAGGGAGATCAGAATGAAGTCCAGGACACTAGCTAGCAGTAAGTAAAAGAAATCCCACATCCTCCTTTGTCCTGGGTAATCAAAGGCACCTCACTGCTTTAAAACCTGCCACTGAGACACTGCAGGGTGAGGAATGCCACCCCATATAAGATGACATCACATCTTATGGGCACACGTGCCATGCGGTTACCATAGAACACTCCTGTGTTAACTTGTTTGAATGTTGGAGCTCAGTTGAGCAACCTTGGAAACTTGTGGCTTTGCATCCCCCTCCTTTTTTTTATTATTGAGAAGGTGAAAATGGTGGGGAAGGAAGGAAGGAAGAAGGAAGGAAGGAAGAAGGAAGGAAAAAAGCTGATTGTTCCTAACAGGAAAACTTAAGCTTTTTTCTCAGACTGGTAAATCAAGAGGGTTGTGTGGAAGTTTATGGGGGAGGAAATCTGAACACAGAAATTTTGAAGAGGTTCTTGTATTTGGAAATGTATTTTTTTCGATGGAACGTTTTAGCAAAGGTTACACAAGTTTTTCCAAGCCTCGTAGGAAAGTCCTGTATTTGAACAGGCCCACGTCTACCCTGTGCAGGGCAATCTGAGCTGCAGGTAGTCTTTGTTAAAACAGCCTGATACTGCTTTTTCTATCTAGATATCAATATCAATGTTTTTCTTTAATTTATAGCCCTTTGTAGTGGGTTTTTCCAATGTGCTGCCCAGATCTTTAGAGATGCAGTCTCTAATGTCAGCGGGCACCGCAGGCATTTACCACGGAAGGGAAAGGAAGCAGCACTTTCTGGTTCAACGCTTTAAGTATCGGTCTATTGTTACTATTTTTCTGATACTTTTATTTCTAACTTATTTCATGAACGTTACTGCAAATTTGAAATATTTTATGTAGCACTTATCATGAATATTCATACTACCCTTTTCATAAATAATGTGTTATACAAAACATTTTAAAGTTCCCTATAATTCATTTTAAAAAGAATGAAGGTATTGTCAAAGATTTTTGTATCTGCCTATTTCAAACTTATAAATCCCAAATTCAGTTGGTTACTCGTGAAGTTAAAATACAGAAATCTCAGACTTTGTGGGATTTGAATTGAATTGAGCGAAGATTTGGAAGGGGGCAAAATGTTTCGTTTTG